TCTCTCTCTCTCTCTCTCTCTCTCTCTCTCTCTCTCTCTCTCTCTCTCTCTCTCTCTCTCTCTCTCTCTCTCTCTCTCTCTCTCTCTCAGTTTCACAAAAAATACTTCTTAAACAGTGTCCCAAAAAGCACAGCGGAAGCTTCAAACTGAAGGGTCTATACTAGTTCGACACTTCGGATACGTCCGTAACACGAAATGTTGTGGGTGACTATACGGTGCTTGTCTTTTCCATCTCTCAGCCCTCTAGCGTGCTAATATGCCATTTCTTGCGGGCTTCCTCTCTGTCAATCTCCTGTGATCTCGGATATATCCGAACTTCGCTTATCTGGGAAAATCACATTGCCTTGCTGCTCTTCTGCAACGATCGTAAGAAATGCTTTTAAAAGCGAGGCTGATGATCTCCGCGTGTGCTCGACCCTGCGTCGTCCGTGCGGCGTCTTGATAAAATTAAGTACAGTCTCTCTGAGACACTCTATCTCGCTCTTTCTGTCTCTCTYTCTCTTTCTATATCTCTGGCTCTTCAAATGTACACGACCGTTTCTTGTGGACTTCCTCTGTCTGTCTATCTCCTGTGATCTCGGATACATCCGAGCTTCGCTTCTCTTGGAAATTCACATTACCTTGCTGCTCTCCTACAACGATCGTCTGAAATGCTTTTAAAAACGAGGCTGATGGTCTACGCGTGTGCTCGACCCTGCGTCTCCTGAAAATTAAGTACAATCTCTCTAAGACTCTCTGTCTCTCGCTCTTTCTGCATCTTTCTCTCTTTCTATCTCTCTCGCTCTACACATGTACACGATCATCGGTGTAGAACTCCAATTCATTTTGGTCCTCACACTTCTAAATACAGGTCATCCTACTCCTCTAAGTCTGTGAAGAGCCACAACTCGTTTTACTCACAAACTCGAGTTTGTATCATTATACTGTTCTGATTCGGATGAGTGGGATGCTCAACTCCAAGTGAAACTATGACACAGTGTAATATATTACTCTGTTCTGGTGTTCCACATCTGGACACAGGAGATATATGTACTGAGGCAGCAGTACATATAACACAGTAGTAGCAGATATATGTACTGACTCAGAGGTGTATAACAAAGTGTATACTCTGCTGTGGTGTTCCACATCTGGACACATCCGAACCACGAGAAGAGCGCAGCAGATATATATACTGACTGTGCTCCTCGCCTCAAAGCTGATTTTACTCCTTGTTCAGATGTATCTGGATTTGGAATACTACACCAGACTATACACTGTGTCATAAATTCGTTTCAAAATAGTACATACGATAATGTACGGTTTTAACGAATAACATGTTGAGGGATCTCGTGCTCGAATTGTTGGCGGGCGTCCTGTGCGCTGCCGGTTTGGGCCATGATCCCTCCCGTCATGCGTTTGGAGTACACCTCGGGATTTCCGTTATGGTTCTAAACTCTTGGGTGAAGCGTTGTGTATCCGCCATCGCCGTGCGCGTGCTCTTGTGACTCATCAACCATCACTTTGTGGCCGACGTGGCGCATTCTGTTGTCGAGGAGTGGCGCCCTCTCCGTCATATTCGCGTCTCGATTTTTGAGCGATCGCCTTGCGTAACATCGTTGTCTGTGGGGGTGTCCCGGCTCCTCGGGCGCTCACGGAGTGAGGGCGTGTTACTGACGTCGCTTGCTGGAGGTTCGCCTGGCCCCTTCGTGTTGCGGCGAACCATGGCGCCTGGAGCGGTAACGCGTCCTGCTTCCTTGTGACCCACATCCCATCCCCCACCCCCTGACCCCACCCCCTGACCCCCCTCCATGCACCCTGTCTTGTATCCTTACCCACTTCCCTCCTGTGCTATCCCCATGGAGATTCCCATCCCTTTCAGTACGATATGAGGGAGGCTTTGTTCTCTAAAGATCCGGCGGGGTGGTAGTCGGTGAAAAGTACTTTAGGACGCATTCCACCGCCCTCCTATCATACGTTGGCACAATGGGGCCACTCGAGTGATTGGGATTTCTATTCTCTTCCCTTCTCTTCCCCTCCAAAAAGAATGGAAGTTACCCGCTAACCATGTTTGCCCCCCTTCCCGCATCTGTGCATCTTTTGTTGTGATTGGATGCGGATGTGCCTTGTTTTTTTTTGTTTATATCCTTCGTAGGCCCTGTTATACGCATCGCCATTGGAATTCTAGGAGCTTCGGGGCGGGAGTTGTTCGGAGATGGATCTACTAGCTGCTGCCCACATGGCTCTCATCTTCTTGATCGCGTTTATGGCGTACTTAGCCTTTTTATCGTTTTTGGATTTGCAAGTCATTCGATCAGCTCAGCTCGGGGGAGGCTGTCGTAACTCTTCTTCTCCTTTCACTTCGAGGTGGTGTAGGGCCTAGTGGTCTCATCGCTGTTCAGCGGTGTTGCGTCGACAACAGGAGCAATTCCTATTCTAATGGATATCATGGCAGGTCCCAAGGTTTCCCCATCTCTATTCACCATCTCTTTCTGGATTTCCCTCTACCTCTCCATCCTCCTGTCCCTTCTCTCTGCCGGAGTGCTATGCCGCGCCATGTGGTTGGCTTGCTCCCATCCTCTGCATGTTTGCCCAGCGAACCCTCCCCTTCCTTGCGTGTTGAGCCTGGCTGTGTTGGCGCTTTGGTTGACTCTCCATGGTGTTGGGTTTCTTATATTGATAATAGTGTGTCTATTATGGCATGGACCCTCCCTTGTAGTCTGGATAACCTATCCAGGTTGTCATGATCTCCTGGCATACCCCTTCTGAGATAGTTCGGATGCGTATATGGCTGCAATCGGTGATGGCAGGATTTGTTATCCCACTTACCTTTGGTGATGAATCGGTTAGTGATCGTGTTTCTCCCAGGTGGGGGCATCAATACTTGATGATGGATGCTGTTGGGGAATACTTTACTGTGTATGCCCCCCTAGCGTGGAGGTTCCCCCTTTTTTCGATGGATCTGCCCTTGTGTATATTGGGCCTCGGCGTGGATGTTGATGTGGAGGGTGCTTGATTACGAGGGAAGGTTCACGGCCCGCCCTTGCGCCTGCTCGATGGATCTTTTCGGAATGACGAGGTGCTGCTGGTAATTCATTCGAAAGAACGACTATTTGTAAGGTGATACGGTGATTCTGTGTTTTTGAGCTGAGGTGTTGGGTGTCGGTTTAATTGTGCATTGAGGGCACATGGCAGGGACTCCGGTGCTGCTGAAGGGTATGGAGTATGATCTTGGTGTGGCAGTGTAGAGTGGGTAGTTGGCTCCACTAGGTTTTGACGTTGTATTCCTCGTATGGGTGGTAGTGGAGTGGGTGCGGTACTATTTCCCCCCCCCCACGGTGTGGGATCTGCTCTCATGTGCATCTGCGAAGGTTCGTGGTTGTAACGGTGTGCTGCCTTGCCGTTGGATCAGATGGAGAGTGTTTTTTCGTCCAAGTTGAGTCGTATGGAGCTTGGTGATGGATGTCGCTAGGGAGTGCTGTGTAGATGTTGCTGTGACGACCCCATCCCTTTCGGTAGATCTGCCCTTGCTTGTTTCGGACTTCGGGATGGAGTTTGAGGTGGATGGTGCGTGATTACGGGGAGGCAGTGCCTGCCCCGTGAACGTGACCGGCACCGGTCACCAACCCGTGACCGGCCGGTCATCGGGCCTAAATCCCGTGAACGGCCGTTCACAGGAGCCGTTCACGGGCTTTACGCCCGCGGGGGCGGCAGTGCGGTCGGGATGAGGGCGGGAGGGGGGTGGTGCGGGGCCCTTCTACACCCCC